TTCCCTGACCTTGCTGCCTTTCCCACAGTCGCTGACCTCATTACGCACCTCCGCACTAGTGACACTCGCTACCGCGCTGCGCTTCCTGCTGAGTTCTGCGCCAAGAACCCCCCCCCCATGTACATCACCCTCTACTACATAGTCACCCGGCTCCCTGACTCCCTTCGCGTAGTCAGGGACCACTTCCTCTCAGTTTGCCCCACCACTCTCACCGTTGACCTCCTCGAGAAGTCCCTCCTAGCAGCAGAGAAGAGCATAGTAGCTGTAGGAGCCTCTCGTGGTGACCCTCGCACCCCCATCTTTGAGGGGTGTTCCCCCTCCCCCCTTTTGCCCTCTGTTGCCTCTGCTGCTGCGGCCGACCTCGTTGGGCTTGAGTCGGTCGGTGCGGCGTCTACCCCTAGCGGGAGACGCCACCCTGGCAAGGGCAAAGGGGGCAGGGGCACTGGAGGAGCTAGCGGGGGCGGTGGAGGCGGCGGTGGAGGCAGTGAAGGGGGTGGGGGTGGCAGTGGGGGTGGTGGTGGGGGTGGAGGTGTCGGTGGCGGCGGTGGAGGCGGAGGCGGCGGCGGCGGTGGCGGTGGGAGCGGAGGTGGCGGCGGTGGAGGAGGCGGCGGCGGAGGAGGTGGAGCTGGTCGGGGTGGCGCTGCGCAGAGGGTCGGCTCCGGTGGTGGTCAGCGCCAGCAGCAGCAGCAGCAGCAGCAGCAGCGCACTCGTGACATCCCCCCCCCTCAGCAGCTCCGTGAGTGGTACGCTGCACGCCAGCGGGGTGGGGGTACTGGTCCGTGCACCTACGTCCTACGCACCGGCGACCGCGCGGGTGACCAGTGCGGGGGTGCGCACTCTACCCAGCGCTGCTTTGGCCGCCTGACGGACGCTTGGCGTCACCAGTTCCCTGAGGCCACTGAGATCCCCCGCTGGGGTGAGCTGTCTAGGGCGGGTGTCGCTGTCTTTGACCTTGACTTTGATGCTATTCTTGCTGCCATGTATACTGTGACTATTAGTGATGAGGGTGACTGTTACCGGTGTTTTCCGCCCGACCCGGGCATTGAGACTGCTGCTCTAGGTACTGGTGAGGCCGCTGCTCTAGGTGCTAGCGAGGCTGCTGCTCTAGGTGCGCGTCTGCTCCCTCAGGTGCTGGTGAGTCTGCTCTCTCAGGTTCTGCGTCGGCTTCGGCCTCCCACACCTTCACCCTTGACTCGGGGGCTTCTCGCTCCTTCTTTCGAGACCGCACCACACTCACGCCACTTGGCCGGCCAGTTGCGGTCTTTCTGGCAGACTGTGGAAGCTGCTCCGACATCCTCAGCACCAAGGACGTCAACAGCAGCAGTAGAGGTGTAGGAGGGGGCAAGGGGGGAGGGGGAACACCCCTCAAAGGAGGGCGTGCGAGGAGTGCCATGAGCAGCACCTACAGCGACTACACTAGTCACAGCTACAAGGAGGTGCTGCTCGAGTAGATCAACAGTGAGGTATGTGGGGTCGAGCGCGAGAAAGTGGTCCCTGACAGCGCGAAGAGAGTCAGGGAGGCGGGTGACTATAAAGTAGAGAGTGATGTACATCGAGGGCGGGTTCTTGGCAAGGAACTCTGCGGGGAGGGCAGCACGGTAGCGAGCGACGCTAGTGCGAAGGTGGGAAACTAGGTCCTCTACTGTGGCAAAGGTGGACAGCTTGGGAAACAGGTAGGGCAGTAGAAGACGGCCTAGAGCAGCAGTTGCAGGCGAGGAGTAACGGGCCCTCAACAGCGAGTCTGTAACAGACGCACCTCTTGATCTCACAGAGGCACTTGCGCATGATGCGGAGGGTACGACCAACGCCGCTGATCCCGTCAACGCCCACGGTCTCACTGTTGCCTCTCGCACACGCACGGGTACGTTTGTTGTTGTTGTTGTAGATTATCGTTGCTTCATTAATAGTTTGCCTTTTCTTAGACCATCATGGCACGTCTTACTCTAACTCTCTGTTTCCTGCGTATTGGCGTGATTTTCATACACAGTTACTCCCTCTCCAGGCTCCCAAGAAATCGTCCGTCTTCGTTCTGAAGTCGAAGACCTTCAAAAATCTTTGAAGGTAACGCAGGAGCGGGCCCTGGACTTACGGATCGCGCTCGACGATAAGGAGGTGGCGTACTTGACTCTTACCCTGCGCTACGAAGAGCAGGATGCTTTGATCCAGGCCCTGCGCCAACAGATTGCGAACACCGGTAACACGAATGGCATGCAGATTGTCAACACCGCCATTCTGCCGACGTACGACCTGCAGTTGCTCCCACGGGACCAGAACAACGTTGTCATTGTCCCGGCCACGCTAGACCAGGACCACCTGTTTGGGGTACGTTTTTCAATGCCGAAATGCGCTTGCTTAGGTTGTTGCACGTTTTGATTACGCAATTGCATTGTTTATGATCTATTTACCATCATTGCATTTCTCAAAGCGAAGTTGTTCACCCTTTATCCCCCCAATTTGATACCCGTATCAGAAAAAAGCATTGGAGGCCTTCACCTTCATGACAACAACTGCACCGACCTGGAGGATTTTGTTCTATCCGTCGTGGCCCGACCTGCGTGAGATGATGGCAGAGAAGTACGCTGAAGCTGGCGTAAAGAGGGACATGTTTTACTACGTCATCTGCAACTTCCCTGCGAAAGAGAACATCGCCATGCGGAAGGTGTCAGAGAAGCGCAGCAACTACAACTGTGACATCAAGGTGTTCGGTCGCGGTCCGGGCGGATGTGTCGCCGAGAGCAAGTGGAAGGAACTCGCGGACGAGGGCGTGGCTCCCACCACCAGCAGAACACCCGCCGAGTGGACCCTTTTTTTTCTGCATGGTAAGTTTGTGTTTTATGTCAACGTTCACGGGCATGTGCATTAGTTTCCTAACATGCTGGTGCTTATTCGTCGCTCACGTAACATCATTTATTGCTCTGTTTCCTGACATGGTGGTGTTTCATGTTATGCACAGTGCGCTTTGGATCGAAGTGGCATTTCTGCGTTTTGAGCATGCGGCCATTCGCCAACCGTTCCTTCGAACTAGTGCTGCTGCGCGGTTTTGGCAGCAAGAAAGCCACGACCATAATGGTGAAGATCCCATTGGTGGGATATGCTTGCAACGTGGTGAGCTATTATGCTTGTTGAGGCTATCTCGCATCTTAACTTTATACCATACTAACTGTGTGCTTGTGAATTTGCAGGTGGAATGGCCCTTGGCAAATGCCAGGGGCCGCGCCAGTCCCTCCCTTGACACGTCTGAGACGGTCAACCAGCAGAACGTGGAGCTGAAGATCACCCACGTGGTGACCTGGATTAAGGAGACATATGAAATTGGGGACCACGGTATCTGGGATCCCGTGGCCCCTGCTGGCTTCCGGATGTCCCCGAACGTCAAGATTCTTATTGAGGGATATGAGAGCCTAATTTTCCCCAATGGGTTGCCCTGGGTCTTGACTTGCAGAGTGTGCATTGAGCACTGCATTTTATCATTGCCATGCGTTGCAGTCTAACTTCTTCTAGTAGTAATGTTTCAGGCATAAATAACAAATGTTACCATTTTACATAGTAAGCTCAATTCAGGACAACCAAACCGTTCCAATTGTAGCCGGCTCAGAATATTGTTGATTGTAATTATTATACAGAATGGCAACATATCAAATTTCGATCCGAAATGCCGAACCAAGTGTATATATCAAAACTATTGTCACTGTTCCTTCACATAAAATAGCGGCAAAAATTATAACTACGACACAACATTTTTAACCGCTGCCAAAGAACATGGAGAACGTGTTTCCCGACCGTTATGTGAGAAAATTCCCCAATCGAATATTCCCCGACGTCACTGTACGTAATGGTTACTTCGCTAGTAGCTTTCGCTAACACCTAACGAATCCACGTAACCAGATCACGAGCACGAAATCGAGTTGGCAGGGTTCGGCGGAATTGCCCAATAAATAGTCAGAGCCTGATATCAACACCCAGTCCAACATCCACGTGTACCCAGACGCGTCGTTCAACGATGATTTCCGCACGTTTCTGGGAGTGCCTGCAAATAGCAACACAGCTGCAATTGAACGGGTACGATCAAACCCATTGACTACAGTGACGCGTGGAAACAGACCAACATCGTCGATCTACCGCACAACCGATCTAGGACCTGATTCGTAACAAACCATCTACAATCTACGACACACCCGGTAAGCAGTTGGATTCGCACCATTCTCAACCAAAACCACAGCAAACCAGAGCAAATCAGTCCCCGCTTTTTTCCGATGTAGTATCTCGATTTTTTTACAATGGAGTCTCCGCCGATCCATCGTCTACCTGACGATCTCCTCCTTACCATCCTTACGCACTCCTTTGAGCAACCGGCTTCACGCGAATCTCACTGGGACAACTTGGCCACTGACGTCTGGCCAGGTTTCGGTATGGTGCGTAGCTTTGTGATAGTCCCGCCGATATCAGCCCCACCTTCGGTCGCTGCAGACGTGGCTCGAAATCTCCTCATTGCGTCCGTCTGCCGTCGTTGGCGTCGTCTTTTGAAACTTGGTGTGACCACGCTCACCGTCAAAGAAGACCTCCTGGTAACCCGCGAAGATCTCTCAGTCGTCATCACGGGTTTTTCAAATCTTACCCATCTGCATCTGAGCGACAGAAGTGTGGAGTTGGTCGACGACGCCTTCCTTGCTCACCTTGCTTCATCATGTCCGAAACTGACGACTCTCCACGTGGGGAGGAGCTATGCACCGCGAATGCCCATCCACCTTGGCGGCACGTTAGAGCATTACCGAAGAACGAAGGAGCATCCATTGACTACAAACGGCCTGGATTGGTTCTTTCAAGAGCTTCCCAAATTGGAGCAGGTTACCCTCTACTGCCTCCACCAAGAAACAAGGCTACCAGGTTCCTTGTTTCAGCTGAGGCGTCTGCACACCCTCCTTCTCACCGACGCTTCAGCATTGGAAAATCACGGTTTCACAAACTTGACTGCTCTTACCACCCTTTACGTCACCTTTCCCATGAACCATCTGCACCTCTCCAACCTCCTTCATCTCCCACAACTCGCCCATATCTTCACCCTCGGCCCTCACCAGACCCATCAACCGGCGGATGCTGCAAGCGTGACGCTGCCTCCTTGCCTAAAATCGCTCATTCTTTCAAGTTCTTGTCCTAATCCCGACACCATCTTCCCATCAGCTGCGCCGTTCACTGGGCTAGAGGAGCTGCTGATGAGCAACTGCAGGGAGCTGACGAGCCTTCCATACCTCATTGGAGACGTGTTGCCGTGCCTTCGCAAGTTGACGATTCGCAATTGTTCTTCTCTTGACCGACTGCCGGAAAGTTTCACGTCTCTAAGCCGTTTGGAAGCCCTCGCCGTTTCTGGTTCTGACACATTCACCTTACCCAGCAACTTCGGCCATCTGCCTGCCCTCAAACTGCTGGAGCTAAAGTGGTTGTCTCTCACCGAACTCCCTCCTTCCTTCATTCACCTCACGTCTCTCGAATCACTTTCTGTGGAGAATTGTCAGTACTTTCGACAGCTGCCAGCAGGGTTCTGCCGCCTCACAGCTCTCAAGGCGCTCTGCTTGCCAATCCGGGAGCTGCCAGAGGAGATTGGAGCCCTTGCAGGTTTGGAGGAACTTAGGTCATGTAACCGCCTGCACCACCCCCTTCCCCCGTCCTTCACCCGACTTTCTTCCCTGACGAGCCTTGAGCTGAGTAAATGTGAAATCGAGCTTCCGGAATCGTTGGGAGGGTTGACCAGCCTACGGGAGCTGAAGATGATTGAGTGTTTGAACAGCAGGCTCCCTACCTCACTCATACAGCTTACGGGGCTTCACACCTTGGAGGTCAGATGCGGCTGGACACTCTCAGAAGTACCCTCGCGGCTGGATACACTCACGGGGCTCAAGAGGCTGGAGCTGTTTGCATGTTTGCAGCTGAGTGAACTCCCTGCTGCTCTGCCCCCCTCTCTTGAGACCCTCACTTTGGGTACATTCAAGGAAGGCTCTTCGCCTTTCGTGGATATCTCCCAGCTGTCGCAGCTGAGGGTGCTGAAGCTGAAGGACGTCGGGGTGCGATGCGGGCCTGAAGTGAGCGGCAGGTTCGCGTGTCTGCAGCAGCTGGAGCAGCTGGAGATCCGCTTGAAACTTGACAGCAGGAAGCTCCCAGTCCCCCTGACCTTTCTCCCTCGCCTGCGCAGCTTGCTAATAGAGGCGCGAGGAATTTGCAGCCTTCCAGTAAACATGGCGGCAGCGTTGCCGCAGCTGCGGCAGCTGGATCTTCTTTCTTGGTCACCGGGGGAGCTGCCGGGAAGCATTGTGGAGCTCACCAAGCTGACGTCACTTACGCTTGAAGCACCTCAGCTGGTGGCGCTACCTCAAGGAATAAGCTCCCTGGTTCGGCTGCGCAAATTGGAGCTGATGTACTGCAAGGCATTGCAGCACCTCCCGGAGTTTCTCACCCAGCTGCACCGGCTGACACTGCGTTGCACCCCGCTCCCCTCCGTTCCTGCAGATTATGAGCTGCTGGATTGAAAAGCCTCGACTTGGCTGGTTGCCTGCAGCTGGATACTCTCTCAGAGGACTTGACTCTATCTTAGAGGCTCCTTGCAATGTCTCAGTGCTGGCTAATATTTTGAGGGAAGGCGTCTTCGAAGCCGGGCCTGCACCAGTGAAGGTGGTGCCGGGGAAGATGAAGGAAATGAGTGAACTGGATAGTTGTGAGACTTGTAGTGTGCTCTCTGATCTCCCTTGCCTTGTACTACCGTTTGTTACTTGGATTTCCAGAAATGTGTCTTACTCCTGTTGTCTGCAAAACAGGTTTACAATACTGCGAAATATAACTGAACCATTCATGCTTGTCAAGTCAGATCTTGTTATCATCAGATCAGGGGTGCCACACCGCAGGCAACCAACCTAGGGTTTAGCCATTAGCATGCAGACATTACATGAGACATCTAGGAGAGGCTGTTGAATGCTGTCAAGAGGACAGCATCATTACCGCACCTTAAGATCCCTTGCATTTAGACTGCAATTCAATCCAATGATGATGGAGCCACATCATTCTCATCTCATGCTGAATCCTCACCCAGCTGCACCAGCTGATATTGCATGACGCCTCATCCATCCATTCCCTCCCTCCCCTCCCTCCAACTATGGCTCGCAGATGTGAAAATTCAACAGGCTTTGTGGCAACAAACAGCCGTTTTCCAAGGCAACAACCAGGCACGAAACAGTTCAGGTGATGCACCACCTAAATGATATATGGTGTGCTCGTATGGTGTGGTGGATGGATGAATGAATAGACAGCAAGAAACCTAGGACCGTCCTGCTTGGATGATGACGGATGCATGGTCATGTGTGTACGGTCCCAAATTCTGCACATTGAGAAATGCATTCAGAGATTCTGATAGCGATTTCTGAGATACGATTTTGTTACGAAAATGTGCCTACCCTACCTAAATACACATTATGAGGGAAAGGGTTCGCGAGATATGCATTACAGAACATGATTTCTTCGTGGATGAACTGTGAAAAAGCGCTCACAACGATGCATTCTGGGGCATGCATTGTAAGAGTTGCAATTTGGTATGCTCTTATTCCGAATATTGCATTTTGAGAGACTCAACACTATTTTATGATAATTAATTTCTGAGAGATTAATTCTGTGAGATGTAGTCAAAGAAAAGGATTTTGTGATACGCATTCTGTAATATTCCACCTTTTCTAATACAGCCTACTCCTCTCATAAGCCCCCTCATCCTCCCCATTTCTCTCATACCCTTCAATCCTCTCCTACACTCCATTTCTCCCAAACCGCCCACTACTACCATACCCCCAAATCTGCTCATCACTCCCACTCCTCTCATATCCCCCATTCCTCCCATACCCCCTAACTCTCTCATACCCACCTTCCTCTTATCCCCCCTAATCCTCTCACCCCTGACATTCTCCATCCCTCTCATACCCCCCACGCCTACCATACCCCACACTCCTCTCAATCCCCAAACTCCTCACACACACCCCATTCCTCCTATACCCCCTAAACCTGTCATACACCCCAAATTTTGATACTCCGATTTCATCATACCCTCGCTCCTCTCATACCCCACCCCCCACAGGGTTGAGCAAAGAAACGAACTTCGAGGCGAACCGAACAGGTTTTTTTTTTAGCTTAAAGTGTTTGTGACAAACGTGTTTGAGGTTCGCCCGAACACGCCTTCACCTTCGAACACCGAACATCTGTTTTTGCTAAAAGTGTTCGCCGAACCGGACAGTGTTCGGTTCGGCGAACGGCTGTATTCGTGCAGGGGCGAACACGAACACGTTCGTGTTCGCCCCTTGCTCATCCCTAACCCCACACGCCTTTCCACTCAAATTGTAAATGCCCCCAAAATTTCTCATAACCGCCCCCTTTCTCCCCCTCCTCCCCCCCCACCCCCCCCCCCTCCCCCCTTCTCATAACCCCACTCCTCTCACTCCCCCCACTCATCCCATACCCCCTGTGTTAGGTGAAGGCAGAATGATCGTTTAAAGGTGTGCTCGACTCTTGTTCTCCTCCCCGACTGCCCAGCACTCAACCTAAGTAAGGTTGAACCATTTGGGTCAAGGGCTTGAAGCCATCTATCACGCAATTCATGACGCCATGAGCAAGTCAGCATGAAAATCATCATGCTTTGAGGCATTCATTGTGCATTTTATGCTGCATAACGACATTCGGCATCCCAATAATCACGCCATGAGATATGCATCATTATGTTATCATTCTATGTGACATTCACCATGTTCTTTATCATGATGATGTTTATCATGCTAATGCACATTCAGCATGCAAGTCATCATGCCATAAGACATTCTGAATACTTGATTTAAGGCACGAGCCATCCTCATGCACTACAACATGCTTCTATAAATGCAATTTATGTTGCTTCTACTATGACTGGCAGTCATCAATCTTTGATATATTTAGCACCCAAATCATAACGCCATGAGACATTCAGCATGCAAGTGATCATGCTATGACACTTTTGAGAGACATCCAGTCTTCATTCCATCATGCCAATCTGATCATGAATGCAAATTCGTCATGCCATGAGATATCGTCATGCTTAGAAACATCCAGATTGCTAGTCATCATGTCATGACACACTAAGCATACAAATCGTCATTATATGTAGCATTCCGCATGCACATCATCATGCCATGGCACACTCAACACGAAAAGTATCAAGTTATGAGGCATTCTGAGTGCCTTTCATCATCTATGAAAATCATAATTTAAAAGATTGTCATGTTTTGAGACATATCATTTATCTATGAGGGCAATCAGAGTGCAATTCTTCTATCATGCCATGAGACTTAAGAAGAAAAACATCCAGCACGCAATGCCTCATGCATCAAAACATTCAGCAATCATATGATTTTGCTTTGATACCTTCAGCACGCAAATACCCAAGCCATGCGACATTCAGCATGCAACTAAACATGCTGTGAGAATTTCAAAATGCCAATTATCATACCGTAGGACGTTCAGCCTTCATCCCATCATCCCATGGGACCTCCAACGTGCAATTTATCATGCCGTGGGATATTTTGCATCCAGCCAGCACATATGGAATGCAGTCTATCATGCCATGAGCATTCATTATGCAACAACTCATGCTTCAAGTCCGCTCATATTATCTCGTGAGACCAATCAGCATGCAAATCACGAGGACTTTAGCCATCCAGGCTAGTATTTATCATGCGAGGGTACATCAGGGAGCAATCAATAAAAATCAGCATAGTACGCTTTATATATTCATTACAACATGATACGCGCATCGTGCAAATTGTCGTTGTATGAGACATTTATATTGCAGCAATTCATGCATTGAAACATGTAACCCAGACTCCTCTCATACCCCCCACCCCACCCATAACCCACAGTCCTCTCATGCCCCCCACTGCTCTCATATCCCCCATTCATCTCATACCCCTCACTGCTGATGTCTCACACCCCACTCGTTTCATGCCCCCCACTCCTCTCAGATTCCCCACTCTGCTCACACCCCCCATTCCTCTCACAGCCCCCACTCCACTCATATCCCCTACTCCTCTCATCCCCCACACCTCTCATAACCCACTCCTCTCATTCCCCCACCCCCATTCCAGCTGAAGCCGTTCTGGTATTAGTATTGCCTCATTCGTGCCTGGTTATTTGTGAATGCTGAAGCACGCATGCATGACCATGCAACACATCACCTTCTATGCACGACAGTCGTGCATGCACCATACCATACATAAGAACCATCTACACTACTAAGGTGGTGGCGCATCAAACGACCGTGCCATGACTCCTCACATCTGATTTGTACTAGGGTGAAAGAAAAAAATACAAAAGCAGTGCACGTACATATGACAGCTATAGCATTTTTCTGCTCTGTCCAAACCCTCCTTCCATTCCCCGATACTTTCTCTGCAATCTTGTTTCATGCAGCCCTCCTTCTTCCCTTCTTCACCCATATATACTAGCTGCAATTCTCCAGACCCATTCTTTCATACCTCGCACTCTCTTCATAACCCCCACCCCTCTCATGTCCCCCACTCCTCTCACATCACTCCTCTCATTCTCCCCACTGCTCTTGTTCCCCCCATCTTCTCATATTCCCCATTCTTCCGATACCCTCACTCTCCTCACACCTCCATTCCTCACTCCTCGCATACCCGCCACCCCTCATTTCCTCCACGCCTCTCATTTCTCCCATTCCCCTCGTACCACTTCTCTCGTATCCCCACTCCATCGATACCCCCCGATACCTGTCATTCCCCAGATTATTTGTGTCCCACTCTTGTTACTCCTGTTTTCAATGAACTTCTGCATTTGCCGTTCACCAGCAGCATCAAGCATCTCCTCCATACCGCTCCCACTCTCACTGTTTCGTCTTCTCCTTCGCTGCACTTCCGCATTTTCCAACACACAAATGCCTTTTTTATCGGCCATACCTTTTCATCCCACCCATGCCTTTTCATCCCAGCCACTACTCATCCCACTCAGGAATTTCCATCCCACCCATGCCTGTGCAATGCGTTGGCATGGATGTGCTGCTCCCTGTGCTATGGCTCGGCTGAGGAAGAGGATTGTGTGTAATGCCTGCAACATGCTTGTGCAATGCTTGCAGGTAGGTCGTGAAGTTACAATGTGCTATGCTTGGTATAAATTTGACAAGTGTGCTTGGTGAAGTGGTTGCTTCGGCACATTTCTTCGTCTGTCCGATGTAACCATGGCAGGTACTGAACGTTGTATGCTGCGTAGAGCAGAGTAAATGGTATGCTATGCAAGGCATTGTGTAGTGCAGGTGAGCTCGATCCCCAGTGAATTTAAGGCAGCATCTACCTTGTGTGGTCTTAACATATGGTACCAGTAAGATTGTACCATAGCCATCTACAGCTGAAAGCTCATGAACACAGTACATGTATATTTGTTTCTAAAATTATAGTATTCGGCAAATGCGATGGTGTATGCTGGTGGGGCAAAAGGTAGCTCCTTGGGACAGGAAATGCGTGCATGGGTGGGTGCGTGGGAACAAAATGCACACCAACTGAAGTTCATCAACTTGGAAGGAAATATGCTTTGGTTGGTGTGTCATGCCAAATGGTGACATCAGTAGGTAAGAACTAGGCGAACATATAGCCATTTATGAGCAGCAGCAGGCTGCCGTTCAACTGCATCCATGCGAGCACGTAGTAGTGGCGTCTGCCAAGTGGCGAGATCTCGTCAAGCGACGGCAGCTTCAAGGCGAGGATGATAAAGGCAGAGTAAAGAGAGTAAGCGGCCAACCATGAGGTGCTGGAAGAGCTGGGGGGTTGTGGGCGGGGTGGTGGGGTGGGTGGGAGGAGGGAGGAAAACGAAATGAGAAGAGCAATGAGGGAGGAAAAGCGAGGTAGGGCGGGGGGAGGCGCACGGTGCAGCTCAGTGGCACGTGCTATGATGGGATGGAAGAGCTGGAAATAATTGAGTTGGTGGGAGTGGGTGTGGGGATGCCTGGGAAGGAGAGAGAAACGAGCATGGGCAATCGAGGAAGAGTGGCGAGAGGTGCAGGCTTAAGCGACCCGCAATGACTCGGTGGAAGAGGTGGGGAGGGTGGGGAGTGAGTTTAGGGATAGGGAGAGAAAGCGAGGAACATGAACTGCAGGTGTATGGATTTCCTGCCTTCTAGTCCGTAGCTCGTGCCTTCTGCAGCTAAGGGAGTTGCGCACATGTGGGGGCAGGGTAGGCAGTCAGCTGGGAAAGCTGTTCCACTCCAACGACTGCAGTGAGGGCCAAAGCCACTGCATGGGAATGGCTGGCGGATGATGGCGTGATGGTGTGATGGTGTGATGGTGTGATGGGGTGGTGGGGTGATGGGGTGATGGGGTGGTGGGGTGATGGTGTGATGGCATGATGGGGTGATGGGGTGATGGTGTGATGGTGTGATGGTGTGATGGCATGATGGGGTGATGGTGTGATGGGGTGGTGGGGTGATGGGGTGATGGGGTGGTGGGGTGATGGTGTGATGGCATGATGGGCTGATGGGGTGATGGTGTGATGGTGTGATGGCATGATGGGGTGATGGGGTGATGGGGTGGTGGGGTGATGGTGTGATGGCATGATGGGGTGATGGGGTGATGGTGTGATGGTGTGATGGTGTGATGGGGTGGTGGGGTGATGGGGTGATGGGGTGATGGGGTGGTGGGGTGATGGTGTGATGGCATGATGGGGTGATGGGGTGATGGTGTGATGGTGTGATGGTGTGATGGCATGATGGGGTGATGGTGTGATGGGGTGGTGGGGTGATGGGGTGATGGGGTGATGGGGTGGTGGGGTGATGGTGTGATGGCATGATGGGGTGATGGGGTGATGGTGTGATGGTGTGATGGTGTGATGGCATGATGGGGTGATGGGGTGATGGTGTGATGGTGTGATGGCATGATGGGGTGATGGTGTGATGGGGTGGTGGGGTGATGGGGTGATGGGGTGATGGGGTGGTGGGGTGATGGTGTGATGGCATGATGGGGTGATGGGGTGATGGGTTGAGGGGCTGATGGTGTGATGGGGTGATGGATTCATGGGGTGATGGTGTGATGGCATGCTGGGGTGAATGTGTGATGGAGGGACTGTCTCCTCCGCATTGAATGGATTGACACACGAGACATGGGGTATCAATGATAGTGGTGGCGAGACAGGCGTCAAATGAGAGCAGAGACCTGATTCGGCAGAGGCAGGTTCGACACAAGGCACCACTCACCCCAGCGTAGAGATGAGTGATCGCTGGTCGGTGTGGGAGCACGGACGGCAGGGGATGGATGCTGGCCAGAGGGGATGAATACCACCTGGGCTATGCACACCTGGTGGGTGATTGGGGGGAGGTTGGCCAGAGAGGGAGAGCCAGGGAGGTGCGTGCAGGATAGAGGGATTGGACCAGTGTGATGGAAGCTGCTGGCTGCACTATGCATACAGGGAATATAGGCACAAGAACTTCAGGCAAAGGGAATTCAGGCACAGGGAACTTAGGCACAGGGAATTCAGGGACAGAAAATTCATGCACAATTCAGGAACACGGAATTCAGGCACAGGAATTTTAGACACAGGGATTTCAGAAACAGGAACTCAAGCGGGCTTTCAGGCACAAAGAATCAGGCATAAGGAATTGGCACCGGGAATTGGCACAGGGTTTTCAGGCACAAAAAACTCAGGCACCAAGAATTCAGGCACAGGGAATTCAAGAACAGGGAATTGAGGGACAGGAAATTCAGGAACAGGGAATTGAGGGACAGGAAATTCAGGAACAGGGAATTGAGGGACAGGAAATTCTTCAGGAACAGGGAATTGAGGGACAGGAAATTCAGGAACAGGGAATTGAGGGACAGGAAATTCAGGAACAGGGAATTGAGGGACAGGAAATTCAGGAACAGGGAATTGAGGGACAGGAAATTCAGGAACAGGGAATTGAGGGACAGGAAATTCAGGCACAGGGAATTGAGGGACAGGAAATTCAGGCACAGGGAATTGAGGGACAGGAAATTCAGGAACAGGGAATTGAGGGACAGGAAATTCAGGAACAGGGAATTGAGGGACAGGAAATTCAGGAACAGGGAATTGAGGGACAGGAAATTCAGGCACAGGGAATTGAGGGACAGGAAATTCAGGCACAGGGAATTGAGGGACAGGAAATTCAGGCACAGGGAATTGAGGGACAGGAAATTCAGGCACAGGGAATTAAGGATGGGGACTTCAGGCACGAGGAATTCAGCATCAGGGGACTCGGCCTGAGACTGAAATGAGACTGACTTGCCACTTACATGAGACTGACCTGCTACTGACCCACAGGTGACCCATGTTCCTCTCACCACCCAGACACCTCCTCCAACCAGCTGTGACCAGTACCAGTGATCCGTTATAGTCCACCTCCTTCCTCGCACCACGCACCTCCTTTTGCCCAACAAGCCCACCTCGTTTTCCCGCTGCTCGTCCGTAAGGAAGACACAGGCACGGGGCCACCCAACAGTGCGCGGGTTGCCCAACAGCCTGCAGGTTACCCGAGGACTCAGCAGCCCTGGGGAAACTCAGCACACCAGCCTGGAGGGCCTTCGCCGAGACCGTGGTACCAGAAGTCGGAGAAGCAGGTGCAGGGCTGTGACGGGAAAGCGGAGAGGGTAAGAGGGGAGGGGGAACGGGGGAAGGTGGGGGAGCGGAAGGGGAAGAGGGGAAGGAAAGGAGCTGTGCCTTTTGAGAGGGATGTGGAAGACAAGGTGGGTGAGGGTTGGGTTGGGGTGGGAGGCTGGGGGAGAGGGAGAAATAGGGGAAGGAAGGGGACGGACCAATGCCTTCTGAGAGGATATAAAAGAGAGTGCAGAACGAAGGCGGGAGTAAGTTTAGTGGGCCAGTATCACTCATGAGCATTCTCAAGTGCACACAAAGCGAGGCGGGGAACAATGTTGCCAGTAAGTGCAGTGAGTGTGAGAGAAGTGGTGGGAGTGAGTGTATGTGAGTGAGTGCAGTGAGTGCAGAGAGTGCAGTGAGTGCAGAGAGTGTAGTGAGTGCAGAGAGTGCAGTGAGTGCAGTGTGGCAGGCAGAAATCAGCTGAGAGTAAATGGTGCGGAGTTGAGGGGGGAATTTGACAGAAGGGAATTGGGAGACGGAACGAGCAGTTAAGTAGAGAATGGAACAGAGCCGAGGGCTCAGGCGAGCGGGCTCAGGCGAGCGGGCGACGACAAGTGATAGATTCTAAGGACGACTCAGAATCCATGATGGTTCCGACAGCCAGGGGACACGTGGCAGGCTGTCAGGCAGTCAGGCAGGCAGGCAGGCAGGCAGGCAGGCGACAAGTGTGGGTGCAGGAGACGCAGGCGCACAGCTGGCGGTGGTGCAGCGGAGATTACGTGGAGGCGGTGGTGAAGGCAAAGATTACGTGACCCGCCCCGCCTCGCCGCACCCGTGACCTGCCAGCAACTCACACCAAGAATCAAACACCCCAGCCCACTATCCCTCATCCACTCGGAACCCACCTCCTTCTCCCTGTCCTCGTCCGTCCTCAGATACCGCACCGCCACGTGGCACCCATCGGCCAGCTTCACCTGCAGCCTCTCGCACACCTCCATCACGTGAGCAGCCTCTGCCTGGTTGATCAGTGCACCCGCGCCTTGGGGGTGGGAGTCCGTGGGGCAGAAGTCGCTGTGGGTAAGCAGGTGCGGATTTGGGGGGGGATGAGGGGTGGAGGGAAGGGTTGAAGGGAAGAGGTTACTGGACGGTGAAGCGAAGCTGCATTGCAGCACTCAGCAGCCCGCAAATTCCGTGTCAACAGTACGCTTGTGCTGCAGGGGCGGGGCACAGGTCGGTGCAGGAAAAGCAGGTGTGGTGCGGAAGGAAGGAACAGCGTTGGGTGAGGTGGGAGGGGAGAGGAAGGAACAGTATGTGGGTGAGAGCAACGCGGCGCCACCGAAGCGGCAGGAATTTGTGAAGCCGACGATGACATGGAAGACGCAGGTGCGGAGCTGGGGGGTTGGGTGGAAAGACGGTTAAAGGGTTGGGGGACGTGAAAGGGGGAGTAAGGGGGTGAGCAGTGCAGCGCCAAAGTAGGGGCAAGAATCCGTGGGGCAGACGTTGGTGTGGGAGAAGAAGGTGCGGAGTTGGGGGGGGGGAGGGAAATGGGGGAGGCGGGGGTGGTGGTGGTGGCGGGGGGGAGGGGGGGTTAAGAAGGGAGAGGGTATGGGGAAAGGAGGGGATGGTGTCGTGGTGAACAGTGCACCCGCAGTTTGGAAGCGGAGTCCGTGCGATGGGTCAGACGTGGGTGGCTCGTCTCTGGGCGCAAATCTGTAGGCCAGACGTGGTGTGGCACAGAGCTGGGGGGTTTGGGATGTGAGGGAAAGGAGGAAATTCGCAGTGGCTTATGAGAGGGATGTTGGAGACAGTGCTGTAAGAGAAGCAGGTGCAGAGCTGTGAGTTGGGCAGATCGCAATTCATTTGGTAGAGAAAAATTTCCACCCAACCAACATTTTCCATCTAAAAGACTAAACTCCAACCCCCAGTTTCTCCGACTCCTCTCCGACTCCTCGGCAACCTTGGCCTCCTCTGTTTAAGTGCTATCTTCGCATATCGCCCGTGAGTGACTCGAGTGAATCCTACACGGACACACATCTCCCCCACCACGCACCGACTTTCACATTGGCGATCTCAGCTTGTCTGCTGCCCCCTGCCACCCATCGACAACACCCACCACATCCCCTATGGCCTCCGCCAGCCCCAGCAGCACTCCCCCACCCCCCCTTCATCCCCCCTTTCACTCTCCTTCACCGCTCCCTCGAGTGAATCTCACACACGCCCCTACCCCACAGCGACGCCTCACCGACTCTCTCACACATGCCCACCCATCACTGGCCCTCACCTTGGCAATACTCAGCTTTTACACGAAACACCTTCGGTAACGCCGACGGTAAGCATCCTCCACTTGCACTCACCCTATGTGACGTGCAATTCCATTCGAAGCCACAAACACAATAGGCATCCGATCCGAAGTGGCAGTGGGATGTGAGCAGCCATGCGAAGCTTCGGTCCTGGCTACCAGTACCTATTAGCTGGAGCTGTGGAGAGGTGCGAGCAGAGAAGCAGGAATTGAGGACACGATCAGGGGAAAACAAAAGAGGAGGGGAGGGAGGGAGGGGCCAGAGGCAAGGTGAGAGAGAGAAAGTGGAGCATTAAGTGGAATCAGGGGAGGGCAGGGTGCCATTAGGTGCATCAGTACTCGCTGCATTGAAAGGGTTATGCAGACTGAATAAGCGAACCAACCCATGGAGAGGGAATGAGCAGGAGGGCAACAAATGAATGGCATTCATGACGCAGCAACAGGTTGTGCCTCGTGGCACCGTCCGCAACTGTATCGCCTGTATTTATCCGATCTGCCCCACGCCATAACGGGTTGTTTCATGACTTATGTTATGACATCATTTCACATACATCGAACCTGTCACCTCCTCAGTGTTAGACTGCACGCATCTAAGCACCGGCTACAAAGTACCTTGCTGCTGTGACGCCACGAGGGTAATACTGAAAGAAGAAAGCTGCCGCTGACCATGAGCATCAGCGCTACCGCATCCTTGCAGCCTTCCCATTCACCGTCCATCAGAGCATCCAAGGATGGCTGCACGGCATCTCCAGTGCCTCAGAGGAGAGACGTCTCGAAGAAAGCCCTAAACAGCATTGCTTGCAGGCGATCGTCAGCACATCATCTGCTAGTGACCCACACGCGGCACCCAACAGCCCCACCCAGCTTTGCTGCTCACCACAACGACTAGCCCAAGTAAGCCACCTCCTTCCGTCCTCTCATCACACACCTCCACTCCCGGCGCTCGTCCTGGAGGAAGAACACCGCCACGGGGCACCCAGCAGCCCCGCCCAGCCCAGCCTCGCCTGCAGCCTCTCCCTTGCATCCGCCACGTCTGCACCATAGGGCCAGGAATCCGTCGGGCAGAAGTTGGTGAATCCGTGGGGCAGGAGTCGGCGTTGGAGAAGCAGGAGCTGAGCTGGCGGGGGTGGGTAAGGGGAGAGGGGGGAACGAACGGAGCAAGAGAGAACAACACATGGTTTGTGAGAGGGGTACGGGAGACAGTACCGCGGAGAAGTGAGACTGTGCAGTGGGGCAGAAGTCGGTCGGTGTTTTAGGCGAAGCAGGTGTGGCGCTGGAAAGCAGGGGAGGGGAGGGGAAAGGAGGGGAAGGGAGCAGTGCGATGCTTGCATTGCTGTTGAGAATCCTCAATAGAGTACGAGACGAAGTGTGGACCAAAGGTGGGAGGCAGTGCTAGAAGCTGAGAGGAGTGGAGGGAGTGGGTGCAGTGAGTGCTGTTGGTGCATTGAGTGCAATGGAGCAGGCAGAAGTCAGCTTGGAGTAACAGGTACGGAGCTGGGGGGAGAATGGGGCGGAAGGGATTGGGAGAGGGAGGGAGCGGGGAAGGAGGGAACGGAGCAACAGCATGGTGCGACGAGTAAGGACTTTTGGAGGGAGAAGGGCTCAGGCGGGCGGAAAAATAATGATTCCAAGGACGACTCGGAATCCACGCGGGTTGGGGGCAGGCGGACGACAAGAGGGCGTGTAGGAGACAAAAGCACACAGCTGGGGGGGGCATTCATTACGTTTCCGGCAGCGGCGCCGATGGCGGTGGTGCAGCGGCGGGTGTGAGGCGGCGCAGTCATCGTCCAGCTTTCATCGTCCAGCTCGACACCCACAGTGATGCCCCCACCCCACTCGCACATCGCAGGCCCAGCCATTCCCATTGGACAGCGTGGATTCAACGGGAACGAGTCCCGAGACGGGTCATGGCAGAGCCTGGCGGCGTGGATAAGGGGAACCGGAGGGAGAGGGGGAGGGGGAGGGGAGGGGGGAGAGGAGGAGGGTAAGGGGAAAGGGAGGAGGTAAGGGGAGGGGGTGAGGGTAAAGGAGCGGGGAGAGGGCCAGGTTAATATGAGGTAAGGGGAGGGGCAGTGGGTAAGGGAGTTGGAGGAGGCAAGTGAAAGGTTAGCGTGTAAGCAGAAAAAGAGGGTGTAAGGGAGTGTTCACGATGGTCTTGCGGTGGTGCCTTGGCAAACAGTGTGGCTGTGCGAGTGGGTGCGAGACGGCATGGAAACAGCAAGCAGGAGTAAACCTACGGGGGGTAAGGAAGTTGGAGGGCCGAGAGAAGGAGAAGCAGGAGTAAACCTACTTCCCTGCCACATCCGTCCCTGCCACATCCGTCCCTGCCACATCCGTCCCTGCCACATCCTTCCCTGCCACATCCTTCCCTGCAACATCCGTCCCTGCCACATCCTTCCCTGCAACATCCTTCCCTGCAACATCCTTCCCTGCAACATCCTTCCCTGCAACATCCTTCCCTGCCACATCCTTCCCTGCAACATCCTTCCCTGCAACATCCTTCCCTGCAACATCCTTCCCTGCAACATCCTTCCCTGCAACATCCTTCCCTGCAACATCCTTCCCTGCAACATCCTTCCCTGCCACATCCTTCCCTGCAACATCCTTCCCTGCAACATCCTTCCCTGCAACATCCTTCCCTGCAACATCCTTCCCTGCAACATCCTTCCCTGCAACATCCTTCCCTGCAACATCCTTCCCTGCAACATCCTTCCCTGCAACATCCTTCCCTGCAACATCCTTCCCTGCAACATCCTTCCCTGCAACATCCTTCCCTGCAACATCCTTCCCTGCAACATCCTTCCCTGCAACATCCTTCCCTGCAACATCCTTCCCTGCAACATCCTTCCCTGCAACATCCTTCCCTGCAACATCCTTCCCTGCAACATCCTTCCCTGCAACATCCTTTCCTTCCCTGCAACATCCTTCCCTGCAACATCCTTCCCTGCAACATCCTTCCCTGCAACATCCTTCCCTGCAACATCCTTCCCTGCAACATCCTTCCCTGCAACATCCTTCCCTGCAACATCCTTCCCTGCAACATCCTTCCCTGCAACATCCTTCCCTGCAACATCCTTCCCTGCAACATCCTTCCCTGCAACATCCTTCCCTGCAACATCCTTCCCTGCAACATCCTTCCCTGCAACATCCTTCCCTGCAACATCCTTCCCTGCAACATCCTTCCCTGCAACATCCTTCCCTGCAACATCCTTCCCTGCAACATCCTTCCCTGCAACATCCTTCCCTGCAACATCCTTCCCTGCAACATCCTTCCCTGCAACATCCTTCCCTGCAACATCCTTCCCTGCAACATCCTTCCCTGCAACATCCTTCCCTGCAACATCCTTCCCTGCAACATCCTTCCCTGCAACATCCTTCCCTGCAACATCCTTCCCTGCAACATCCTTCCCTGCAACATCCTTCCCTGCAACATCCTTCCCTGCAACATCCTTCCCTGCAACATCCTTCCCTGCAACATCCTTCCCTGCAACATCCTTCCCTGCAACATCCTTCCCTGCAACATCCTTCCCTGCAACATCCTTCCCTGCAACATCCTTCCCTGCAACATCCTTCCCTGCAACATCCTTCCCTGCAACATCCTTCCCTGCAACATCCTTCCCTGCAACATCCTTCCCTGCAACATCCTTCCCTGCAACATCCTTCCCTGCAACATCCTTCCCTGCAACATCCTTCCCTGCAACATCCTTCCCTGCAACATCCTTCCCTGCAACATCCTTCCCTGCAACATCCTTCCCTGCAACATCCTTCCCTGCAACATCCTTCCCTGCAACATCCTTCCCTGCAACATCCTTCCCTGCAACATCCTTCCCTGCAACATCCTTCCCTGCAACATCCTTCCCTGCAACATCCTTCCCTGCAACATCCTTCCCTGCAACATCCTTCCCTGCAACATCCTTCCCTGCAACATCCTTCCCTGCAACATCCTTCCCTGCAACATCCTTCCCTGCAACATCCTTCCCTGCAACATCCTTCCCTGCAACATCCTTCCCTGCAACATCCTTCCCTGCAACATCCTTCCCTGCAACATCCTTCCCTGCAACATCCTTCCCTGCAACATCCTTCCCTGCAACATCCTTCCCTGCCACATCCTTCCCTACCACATCCTCCGTCCCTCCTCCTCTTGCATTCCGCTCGTCCCTTTCCCGTTCCTTCCGCTATTTCCAGTCTGCTCCTTCCGCTCGTGATCGTGGCGTTATGTGAGGCGAGATCCATCCTCCCCATGCCTTGCTGCACTACTTCCGCGGCAGTACAGCACGTCGCTGCAGTCCTGTCCGTTCTCTTCTCGTCCCTTCCTTCCGCCACGCAGCTCGCCTCCACCAAGGATGCGTCCCCCTTCAACCCCCGCCGCCTTCCAACCTCAGTGCAGCATGCTCACTGCCCTGCCCACGGTTCATAATGTCCCAGTCCCCCCTGCTTGTGCTCCTGTCCCCTCTCTCGACTCGCTCCGCTCTGCTCCTTTCTTCCTATCTGTCTACCCCCCCACCTTCGCTTTGCCGGCCACTCATCAGCTCCAATCGCTGCACCACTCCTGTTCCTACTGCACCCCACGCAAGCACCCAGTGGCGCTTCGGCTGCTGCTGCTGCTGCTGCTGCATAGACGAGTCCTTGGATGCCGCCAATCCAAAGGCTGCTAGCCGCCGTACATATGCCACGCCACTTCAAACGCACACCAGCATGGCAACACGAAACAGTAACACGGAGGGGGAAAGGAAACGAGACAGCGGGGGGAGGAGGGGGGGTGGTTGGGGGAAGCAATTGCTGACGTTGTGCATGGGCGTCGGTGTGGCTCTCTGATGGCCATCGCAGATCCCCACCGTCCGTGTCACCGTGGCAGATCAGATCTTACATCTGCGGGGAGGCGGCAAGAGGAGGCGGCAAGGCGCATTGCGCCTCGGCGCGGAAGGCGCATCGCAGGGGCGTGGGGGGCGGGGAGGGCGTCGCAGGGTGAGGAAGCGCACATCCCAAAATCTGTTGGTTTCGTTTCTTACGTGATAGAAACTTTAGGGTTAGATTCTCGTAAGTTTTTCAGAACCTACCTGAAAGATTGTGGGCGACATTCCCGGTTGTAACTTTGGTTGGGAACGGCCTGAAGGAACCAACCTGGAAATTGTTTTTGCCCAATCGCAGCCGTATATCTCTTGTGTTTTCGGAACTTACTCTGGGGTAACTATCAACTGGATTGACGAATCACATCTCGTCGGCAGGTCATGCTGATTGGTTTGCTCCAGGGAGCCGCGAGTCGAGTTTTGGCGAGGTACATTTCCCGCGTGGAATTGAATCCAGTTAAGTCAATGCACGTGGTATGTTCTAATTCGTCAGAATATTACACATCGATACCACTAAAACTGTGATATCGCGTTTGAATTAATTTGTGATTGTATGGAGTTAAATAGTTATTCAGCATTAAATCTGAACGAATTGTAACATCTAACACGCATGTAACATTATAGTGCAGGGTTAAATACGATGCAGATATAAAACGTTGTAATGACAAAGATAAAACATATAAAGATACATTTGTGCGTCTGAATATTTAGAATGTTGTTTCAATACATATCTTACGAGCATTATATAAACGGAATATTACAACATTACAAATTCCTCACAGTAATCTCTATTCCCGTACAGTGTTACAGGTGCTGCACCTTTGCCGTAAGGGCACTTCACAATGGAAGCTAAAACATCTCTACATACAAAATGCAAATAAAAAAATATGCTGATATCCAGCATACGCTTGCACCACCTTGTCACACTAAGCAGCCCGACGTTGCATGCGTGTCTGAACTTCATGATGAAGGACTGTTTTGGCCAATATCTGAGGGGAGGGGAGAGGGAGCGGACGGTTATCATAAGGGGAAAAAAAATCGGGGGTAGTCCGGGGGACGGGAGAGAGAAACCAGAGAACGGCCAGAATTGGTAGCGGTAGCGGTTGCATCAAGAAGCGAGGAGCAGGTGCATGAGACTTAAGGCATGTGATCGGGGGGGAGGAGGCACAAATGCACGGTTCATACCATGCAAATAGTAACTGTCGTCATCGTCATTCCCAGCGGCATATCCGCCTCACTCTCGGCGCCGAAAGAGCTGCAGGCGCCAGAGGACGTGCAGGCGGCGGATCATCGTCCAAACGCATTTCCACGCCTAGTTGCCGCGCGAGGTGGAGCGAGTTCCGACAATAATCTGTCGTAGAAACAACGGCGATATGGAGTGGCGGCGCTCTCTAATTATACGAATATGAGAAATGAAAACGTGGGGCCTGGAACGTCAAGGAGCGGGGGAAGCGAAAAAGGAATGAGATATTATCGACAAAGCAGGAAACAATAAATTGCAATCATGCACGTCGCCGATTCGCGTTGTACAAGCGCGTCCCAGATACGTACCGAGGCGGCGATCGTGATGTTAGGAGCAGCGAACCTCACGGAATAATTTGCAAACACCCTCGCATCGGCTCACATACTGTCGTTGTTGCGCACGTAGACCAACACCTGCAACAAGGAAGGAAAATAAATAAAAATAAAACGCCGGAGGGCGATACCATCGAAGCTGGACACTGACGACCTAACGACTACTGTGACAGCTATCGAGCACAAAAAGCAAGCTAACGACGAGAACTGGAAACGGCAAAGGCAGTTCAAGAGGGAGAGGACGGATTACAAGATGGCTGTCTGCCCCCAAGCAATGACTGTGTTCTGTTGGAACCGTTGAGCGCAATGCCACCGCTGTCGTTTTGTCGTTTCGTGGTTTGCTCCACTTTCTTTATTTTTGCACAACTGTTGTCGGGAGAAACAAGTACCAATCTCGATAAAATAAGTGGTGCAACGTACTGTGGCGTGGAATACAGTAAAATTTAGATGGGGTTAACGAACGTTTTCAACGCTCGAGCAAACAATCACTCGTGCAAAACTCGACGTGTCAAACACGCCTTCAGCAAAACGTTTTAATGAGACAAAGAATCCCATCAGTTGCTTGCGTGGTTCGACCAGCTGCGCTGGCTGACAGTCGAATGAACCTTTCAGGTTCGAGAATCGAGCAGCACTGGAAAGACAAGTTGCTGCAATTTGTTCCGCACGCGACAAGTAGCAGCGAACACTATTTTCCAAACATTCTCCTCTGTCGAAGAGCACCTGCACAGTTGCAGAAAAAAATAACACACAATTGGGACACGTCACGTTTGCTGACACAGGCCCACACTTGTCGGTGCTCGAAGCCAGCTGTACATCCCGCCGCACTGAAAATGACAAAACGGTCCCATAGTGACAGCATTTCCCACCGGTCGACCACCTGCGCGATGCTGTTCCCCTTCCCTAGAATGACTAATACAGTTGGGCACACTAACTTTCATACAAACTGGTTGCTTAAACTATTACATACAGAATATCACACACACAGATGTCAAAATGGCAACCAGATATTTGGCAGAGTATTGCACATTTTGAAGTTGGTTTTAGGGTTATTTTGTATCACTAATGACTCAGTGGTGTGAAATAACCTTGCAAAAAAAAATGAAACCCGCAGCGTTTAAACGGCATCATCTTCCCGTCCATATCCGTACTTGCACGGTTCCACCTCATTCTACATTCAAAATAGCGGCACTCGTACCCGTGTCATGCGACTGACACCAAATTGGGTTGACACAAGTGTCACAGTGGTGTGAAGAAACCTTGGAAAAAAAAAACATTGCTGCGTTGAAACGGCATCATGTGACATGTATGTCCGTACTTGCACGGTTTCGCCTCATTCGATGTTCAAAAAGCGTCACTCGTACCCGTGTCGTGCGAATGGTGCCAAACTGGGGTGACACCCTTTTGATATCATTAATGACTCAGTGGTGTCATTAAGCCTTGCAAAGAAAAAAAAAACGCGCAGTATTGAAACGCCATCATGTGTCGTCCATGTCTGTACTCGCACAGTTTCGCCTCATTCGACGTTCAAAACAACGTCACTCGTACCCGTGTCGTGCGAATCACACCAAATAGGTGTGACACCCTTTTGATATCATTAATGACTCAGTGGTGTGAATAAACCCTGCAAATAAAAACAACGCAGTGCTGAAACGACATCATGTGTCATCCATGTCTGTACTCAAACAGTTTCGCCTCATTTTATGTTCAAAACAGCGTCACACGTACGCGTGCCATGCGATTGACACCAAAATTGGGGAGGCCAGGAAGCAGGTTCTACTCCCTGACGTGCTTTACGTCCCGGGCGTGCAGGTACTATTACCCGACCAGTTGAAAGACAGCGGCGTTAAGCTGCAGAACGACGGCGACGAGATGCTGCATGTCTCAGCAGTGGCGGGCGTGTTTGGTTGGGCAAAGTACACCGGCCGGTCCAACGCACCGACCTTCGACCTTGCGTGACGAAGTCGACTGAAGTGGTGGCACGCGAGGCTCGAGCACGTCGGCGTCGATACCGTCAAGAGCTCGGCGAAACACGAAGTCGCCACCGGCCTGGACATCAAGCCGTCGACCGGGGCCGACTTGCCGTGCGTCTCCTTCATCGGCGGGAAACTTGCGCGGCACACCTTCCCCGACAAGGGCTGTAACGCGGAGGTGGCCCTGCTCGTCGTACACATCGACTTGTGCGGGCCGTTTCGAGTGGCCGCCAAGGATGGCAGCCTGTACTTTCTCCTGCTGATGAACCGCAAGACGCCAGTATGTGTGGGTCAAGCTCGACCGCATGCTCTATTACGACGACGGGATCTGCCGGGTGTGCAAGCTGTTGAAGAGCTTGTACGGGCTAAAACAGTCGCCGCTACTGTGGTACTCGGCGCTCAACGCGGTGCTCACCAGCGCCGGCTGGAGCAAGAGCCAGGTCGACGAGGCTCTCTACTTCAAAGTCACCGAAGACGGAGTGACGTGTTGGGTGCTGTCTAAGTCGACGACTTGCTCGCCGCCAGCAGCACCACCGCGATGCTGAGGGAACTGAAGGAGGTGCTAGAGGCCGCCTTTGAGCTGCGCAAGATCAGCCCGGTCGAGAGGTATCTGGAGATCACTCGAAACCGTTTCGAGTGGCCGATCTGCGCAAGGAGGTTCTGGAGATCATGCGCGACCGACCTGCGCGGAAGCTGTGGCTTCACCAGCAGGCCTACGTCGACAAGCTGCGCAGGCGCTTCATCGACGAGGAGCAGACACGGCGGATCCCGAAGACGCCGGTCTCCGTCGACGCCTAGGCCGAGCTGACTTTCGACGACAATGATGCTCAGTCTCGCGAAGAGGAGGAATACTCGCAGAAGGTCGGCTCGCTGCAGCTCGCTGCAGAAGGTCGGCTCGCTGCTATAATCATCTCAGTCAATTACATTCACTCTGACCTGGATCAACAATTCCGCTGCAACACTACCTGTGATCAACCCTGAGCCGATCCCTGGCTAAGTCCTTTTTGGGATTGTAACAGATGGCAGTGGCCGATGAAGGTGTTCGTCGACCAGGGTGGGCACCGACTACTTTTGGTGGTCGACACGGGTGTTTGTCGACTTGGCACCTGCGCAATGTGCGCGACAGTGCACGTCGTGCGCAACTGTCTATAAGCACTTGCGAACTAGGTGCACGCACATGCGCATACAATCACTTGCGGATGCAACACTGGCAGACCACTCTGCTGCAGCGTTGGTGTCAGAACTAGCAGGTAGAAACGAGAATGAAGAAAAGGAGGGGTTTCACTAGCAAGCAGTTGGATACATATAGCAAACCCTAATTGGGCTGTACTCACTATGGAGTACCCCACTGCAGGCTAGACAATTATAACATTCTGACAGTTGGCAAGGCGCTCTGGTGTTGAAACGACATCATGCGATGCCCATGTCTGTACTCGCGGAAGTTTCAACTCATAAGATGTTCAAATCATCGTCACTCGTTCCCGTGCTGTGCGAATTGAACCAGATTGAGTTTATAGCTTCCTTGTATCATCAATGACTCAGTGGTTTGAAGAAACCTTGCAAAAAAACAAAACAACGCAGCATTGAGACGGCATCATGGGATGTCCATGTCTGTACTCGCGGCAGTTTCAACTCATCAGATGTTCAAAACATCGTCACTCATTCCCGTGCTGTGCGAATGGAACCAAATTGAGTTTATAGCTTCCTTTTTATCATCATGGTGTGAAGAAACCCTGCAAAAAAAAACAACGCTGCATTGAAACAGCATCATGCGATGTCAATGTCTGTACTCGCGGCAGTTTCAACGCATCAGATGTTCAAGACATCGTCACTCGTTCCCGTGCTGTGCGAATCGAACCAAATTGAGTTTATAGCTTCCTTTTTATCATCAATGACTCATTGGTGTGAAGAAACCCTGCAAAAAAAAAAAAACGCTGCATTGAAACAGCATCATGCGATGTCAATGTCTGTACTCGCGGCAGTTTCAACGCATCAGATGTTCAAGACATCGTCACTCGTTCCCGTGCTGTGCGAATCGAACCAAATTGAGTTTATAGCTTCCTTGTATCATCAATGACTCAGTGGTGTGAAGAGACATTGCAAAAAATAATAAACGCAGCGCAGAAACGACATCATGCGATGTCCATGCCTGTACTTGCGGCTATTGAACTCACTCGATGTCAAATCATCGCCACTCGTTCCCGTGTTGTGAGAATGGCACAAAATTGAGTTGATAGCTTCCTTGTACTAGTAAAATAGCCAACATTTGAAACGACACCATGCGACGTCCATGTTTTGAACTCGCGATTAGTTATCAGTAAAATACATGATCTTTTAGTGAATATAACGTCCCACCGATCACAAATGACAATACCAGAGAGTTCAATGCTTTACATACACGTGGAAATCAAATTACTAAGGACTTCAACAATGTATGACTAAACAATTAAAGATGTTTACAATATAAAGGGACATAACAATACAATATTTCCATAACAGTGAAATCACTGTGCACTGGAACGGAGTTCCTCTTGTGCGGGTCATATTGGTCTGGCTTTGCGCCAAACCTTCGCCACCCGCTGCTTCTTAGAAGATGTTGGTCGAAAACCTAATCTTACAGAGCAGTAACTTCGAATCGAACGCCCAATGGAAATCGCGCGAAGGGTTTCGACGAAGGTTCGTAGTTGAAGTCGAAAGTGGTTGACCAATAAAATCGCTCGCGAGACTGGCGTCGAAATTTCGGTGATGCTGCAAACCAGTGATTCCCGAGCCGCGAACCCCGAAAAGCCACCTGCAGGTAGGTTCA